GTGCTGATGCACGGGAACTGCATGACTGGGACGGTACGGCCGTTCTTCCCATGCCACAGCTACATGTAGCTTCACACTGCACATCCGTGGCTAACCCAGCCCCCAGAACTTCCTCAACAAGCCCGACGGCGGCCGAGGCTGGGCATCCGACTTCCTCCACCAAGGCTACGAAGTCTACATCCCGGACCAGCCGCTGCGCGCCCGCTCGGCATGGCATCCCGGCGACGGGGTCCCCTCCCCGTCCGCGTATCCCGCCGAACTCATGCAGGCCCGATTCACGGCGCCCCGGGCATCGAAGCAGTGGCCCCAGGCTGCGAAGCACACGCAGTGGCCTGGAACGGGCGTCATGGGCGACCCGGTGTTTGACGCCTTCTACGCTTCCACGGTGCAGTTCATCAACAACGAGGCATACCAGCAAACGGCGGCCCAGAAGGCGGGTGCGGCTCTCCTGGACAGGATTGGCAAACCCGTCGTTCTGCTCGGTCACAGCCAGGCGGGCGCCTATCCGCCGTTGATTGCCGACGTCCGGCCCCATCTCGTCCGGGCCATGGTCCTCCTGGAGCCCAAGGGGCCGCCGTTCCAAGAAGCCGTGTTTGGTAGGAGGAAGTCCAAGCCATGGGGGATTTTCGACGCGCCCATTACGTATGAGCCTCCGGTGACAGATCCGGACAAGGACCTTGTCAAGGTTACGCACCCGCCTGCTGGGCCAGGTCTGGCGGAATGTGTACTGCAGGCAAGTGATCCGCCGCCGAGGAAGTTGAAGAACCTGGTGGATAAGCCGATGCTGGTAGTTACGGGTGAGGCGTCGTACCATGCCGTGTATGATCATTGCACCGTCGAGTTTCTACGGCAGGCGGGGTGTGACAAGGTTGAGCATTTGGAGCTGGCCAAGGTTGGGATACATGGGAACGGGCACATGATGTTTCTGGAGAAGAATAGCGGGGAGATTCAGGGGGTGATTGAGCGGTGGATTCAAAAGGTTATGAACGATGGGCTAGAGCCCAGCGTGGGGTGAGTGAGCCATCGACATGGTTAAATCAAGGTTAAGATGGTACAATGACCACGCGATGGGCTGGCGCTGGATATGCTTGACTGTGTGCAATACAATGAACCGAGACTATAAGAAGCCACGGCCATGGTGCCCGGTGTCTTTTCTAAAGACGGTCGGTACATGTCCAGCGGGAGTCGTCCACCAACTTTCTTTTTTTTGCTCGGCGGATTTCGCTGGATGTCTTATTCCGGCCGACTTGGACCAACGGCCGGCCAGTGCCCGACATGCCGCGATAGTCAATGCCAGGGCGTGCTAAACTCAGCTATCAGGTCCTCTCAAGGCGATAGCATTGTGATACTTGTATTTATAAGTAAGAAACTATGAGTTGAACTGAATTCTAGTCGTGTTTCTTGTTTTCGTACATATTATTGTGGATCTTGCTGAAATGATGTTCAAGATGGCGACTTACGGTTGGGGAGTGACATGAATACTTACAAAACTACACAACATCTCACACTGCCGCCGGGTATTTCCCAGGATAATGCAATGACACAGTGCAGAGTGAAAGCAAGTCTCACGTCACGAGGACTACAACTCCATACTTGGCCCGAAAATACAAGCTTCTTCCGATCGCTTAATGACACGGCGTCCTTTATTGCAAACTCTCGGGTAACTCCAATAAGCGATGGTGGGGACCCTGAAGCCATGTTACCAAAAAGAGCAGTTGGCGCCGGCCCCCCACTAGAGCCCCCCGCGGGGGGGAAAGCACCGACCATCGGCTTTTGCTTTTGTGTCAACTCTGCCGAAAAGACATCACGTCGTGTTCTCGCTCTCTCCGCGCCGCTTCGCCCCAGCATAAAAAATACACACGGAAACAAGTCGACATGAGCGCGCAAATCTTCTCACTGCAGGGCCAGACAGCAGTCGTCACAGGCTGTACCCGTGGCATCGGCCAAGCTGTGGCCATTGGCCTCGCCGAAGCAGGCGCTGACGTCATTCTCGTACAGGTATTTTGAAGACAAACCAAGCATGAAAAGTCGTTCACGAGAAGCGGTGCTGACTTCCTGCCATGCAGCGAGATACCAGTGTCACCGCCACCAAGGAAGCGGTTGAAAAGTTGGGCCGCAAGGCGTGGATCTACACGGCCGACATGGCGGACCAGCAGTCCGTCAAGGCGCTGACTCCCAAGATTCTGGCGGACGGACACGAGGTTCGGATTCTGGTGACGTGTGCCGGCATCCAGAGGAGACACCCGTGCGAGGAGTTTCCCGACGGCGATTTCAACGAGGTTCCCGCTTAACCCGCCCCCTTGATGTCAAACGCAGCTGTCGTGGTGCTAACAGCCCTGCCGCAGGTCATGCAAGTCAACCTCAACGCCGTATTCACGCTCTGCCGCGACGTGGGCGCGCACATGCTGCGCCTCGAGCCGTCTCCCACCACCGGCCGCCGCGGCAGCATCATCAACTTTGCCTCGCTACTCACCTTCCAGGGCGGCTTCACGGTCCCCGCGTACGCGGCGTCCAAGGGCGCAGTGGGCCAGGTGACCAAGAGCTTCGCAAACGAATGGACGTCCAGGGGCATCACGGTCAACGCCATTGCCCCCGGGTACATCGAGACGGACATGAACACGGCGCTGCTCAACAACCCCGAGCGCCTGGCGAGCATCAGCGCTCGCATCCCCGCGGGACGATGGGGCAGTCCGGACGACTTCAAGGGCACGACGGTCTACCTGGCAAGCCGGGCGAGCGCGTACGTCAGCGGCCACACGCTGGTTGTCGACGGCGGCTGGATGGGTCGGTAAATTAAAAAAAAGAAAAAAGAAAACATTGAAAAGAAGGCGAGACGTGCTTTGCAACGGTGTAGTAGAAAGGTATCATTAGCGCTACTAGAAAATCCCGACGCTGTTGAAAACTCCCAAGACCAACGAATCATTCCGTCCCACTGAAATCAATCGACAGAAAATCTCGTCTTCCCCTCCATCTATCTCTTCCCATCTTGACGTTTTGGACAAAGAGCCGTTTTCAGGATGTGCTCGAGGTAGAGTTTGAGCGCGCCCTAACAACCCTCTTCTTGCCCAGCTTCCACGCCCCCGAGGGATCCTTCACGACGGTCACTTTGCTGCGCTGCGAGCGCACAAAGCCGTTTGCCTGCGTGTTGCGCGACATGACTCTGGCACGCCTCATCAGCACACATTGTCCGAGACAACAGCAGAGCCGAGAGGGGTTGATGGGGGGGAGGGCAAAGTGAGACATACTCTGACTGAAGAGCAGCGATGCGCATGCGCGCAAGAACGGGGTGAAACTCGTCCATTTCCAACTCCCAAATAACCCGCAAGATGTAAGGTGAAAATAAAAAATCTACTCGCAGGTTTGTATTTTAAAAAAAACACCGCGGCTGTAAAGACGTCTAGTCTAAGAAAAAGACGAGTGGTCCGCGACAAGGCCCAGCCTCAGCAGAAAGGGAGACCAGGCACGGGGACGCCAAAGAGGGACAAACCAGGGTATTTAAAACTTGAGCAGATCCCCGCCTAGGACGGGAGAAGGATAGACCCAGGTCCAGGTCGAAACAGATTCTCTAGCCTTCCCGTGCACTTCCTGGGGTGCAGGGCGCTACGACGGGCTCCGAGGAGGTGGTGGGCTGGACGCTGCATCTGGAGACTGGTCGTCTGATCGATCACATGCTAGTGGTGTGTCAGGATGAACTGACCGAGTTGGTGGAGCAAGCACATTGAGTTTGGGGGGGGAGCACAGCACTGCCGTGGAGGGCGGGGGATTGCGCCTGGAGACGACGGACAACACGCTGTGAATAGTGACGGAATAGGTGCCGTGGCTGGCGAGTGACGAACTTGCGGCTGCCCCGAGTCGTGAGACCGGGAGTCCGGGGAAGGTTTGGAGGGTTTTGAGGGGTTTCCGTCGTGAGGCGGCCCCGGATGTAGTCTGGTTGGTGTGGACGGGATGCGGGCGGCGACGTTTCAAAAGTCTCTTCTTTTAACCGTCGTTGGCGGCACGGTGGATTATTACTCGCGGTCAAGTCATGGAGAGTGTGTATACCTACAGTCTGTGGCAGAATATACCTAGGTATTTACCCACTAAAAAGTATACATTAATACATTATAACATATTACAATATAAAACGTGATAGCCTGGTACCTGACCTGGCTAGATACTTTTTGCCTCCAATTGTAGGAAGTGGTCTTGCCTGCAGATGGAGAATGGGACGTTGTTCTGCAGATGCATCGCTTAGTGGAGTGGTCATCTGCCCCTATCGCATTGCGGATACGGTCTGATGCGGTCTAACGAGAGAGGCTAGACCAAAACAGCTCGCTTACCGGGCAAATCCACTCGCCTTGGGCATTTGGAATGTTTGCACGTCACATGCAAGGGCGTGTTCACGCCAACTTGGAACTCTCTTACAACTTGGAGGATGGCGAGACAGAGCAGTGAAGACATGCTAACCGTGTTGCCATACTCTGGCCGGGGCGCGACATGACTCGACAGCCTTGGCTGCAATACTCATTCACAATGGGCGGACAAATACTAATTCGCGCGTGTCACGCATAGCCCATTCCAAGCTCGAATCGGTCCCTGCATTAATACGGTACCGAGTACGTCTATATATTCCAAGCCGTCTACCCATAAAAAATTTGCGGCACTACCTTGTGCGCCCAAACCTTATTCCATGCCAGCTCTAGATTTTGCTACCTGCGCCGCGAGAACAACGCATCAGCCCCATGTACAAACAGAGGGAAAAAGACAAAAATTCAAAGCCAAAAATCATATATAGCAAGGACGGGCTGCATTCAAATCGACAAGTGTGGCCATCAGGCTAATGTGCTAGCAAAAGCAAAGACAAGTGCAGTCTTGTACATGCTGAGCCATTGCAGGCTTGTGAGCATCAAGACTTGCATGATGAGATCGGTCGGGAGTAAGGTGGTCGAGGGCCGTCGGGGTAAAAGAGGCATTTCGGTAGAGGTGTCGCGACAGCCAAAAAAAAAAAACACGACGGAGGCCTATTGAGATTTACTCTTATTTCCCTGGTAGTAGTGTGCCATCTGCAAGCCGGCCCGTCTGAAGCCGCACTTGACGTAGAAACCCTCGTTGGCATCGCTGCAGTCGAGAATGCACTTGTAGCAGCCGACCTTTTCGGCGACGTAGTCGAGGGCTTGGATGAGTCGGAGGCCGAGTTTCTTGCCCTGCTGGTCTTTGGCAACGGCGATGTCTTCAATGTGGCCGACCGCACCGAGGCTGTGGATGCTATGCAAATAGTCAGCAGATTGATTCTCCTCTCCAGGCGTTGAATTGGGGTTCTGTCGCGGGTGGTAAAGCCTGGCTGGGATGAGGACGTACAACTTGCGCTCGACTATCAGAGCGCCCGTAGCAACGACTGATTTCTCCTTTTCTGTTCTGTTGGTGTCTTCAATGACAACGATGTAGTATCCCCCTTGCTGGTTCATCTGCTTGAACTGCTCCTCAAACGCCTCCCTGGTGATGTCGCCGACCGTCGTCAGTACCCGCAGACATTCCAGGAAGCCAGTGTCAAAGTCGCTCGGTCGCAGGGCCCGCAGCTGGTAGCCTTCGGGCAGCTTTTCAGACACCTCGGGAGAGATGAGCTTCGATGAGAAGAGACCCTCTTCAGATGCCATGGTAATTTCGATGGTTGGATGAGGCATAGGGACTTGAGGAACGTTGGGCGTGGGGTGTTGGGTTTGGTGGCGTACAAACGGGGACAAAGGCTAATTCGTATCAATCGGGGTAGCAAGAGACAGCAATGTAGTTCAGCGAGCGAGGATAGAGCAGTCGGGATGGATTGAGGTGAAGAAACGAGAGTCAAAGTCTAGCTGGTGGGAAAAAAGGGGAGGGCAGGACAGAAAAGTCACGGCAGATGGGGGTTGGGATGGATGGTGAGGCGCAAGTCGATAAGCATCACAGCCGATAACATCCAAGACCCCAAGATTGGGACATCCAGGGTCAAGCTGGCCAAGGTCGGTGAGGCTGAGACGGACGCATCTGGTCGGGCTGGTCTGTGCTGGTGCTTCTGGTCAGCGACCACGGAGAGCCCTTGTGGGGGAGCGAAGACGCCTGATTGGCCCAAGTGCTTGTTTTGGCTGAGGAATGGCTGGGTGGAAGACTCGGAGAAGCCCACTGTGCCTGCCTAGCCCTGTAGGCCGGTCCCTGGAAGCAGATCGCAGGGGCGCTCTTCAGGGGCATGGGCTCTGGAGGTCTTGCTTGGCGCACATGCATTCAAACTCGTGCCAACCGCTCCATTGTCTTGAGCCCGAGCCGTTTGCGGCTTCCCGCACACGACATAAACAGAATGCCGGGAGATTTTCTCACCGGCTACGGAAAACGTGACATAATGGATACCGATACGGCTAAACCGACGATAATTGATAAACCGGCATGGCCCTTGTTCGCGATTGCTGGCGTGGCGGTGACTGGTCCTTGAACCTTGGACAGGCGCTGGGCTGGGATTGTGGCAACACTGAAGCCAGAGCCTCGTGTTTATTATTGGAAACATTGCACGGGGTCCTCCGAAGATCCAGTAATTTGGTCCAATGGCCGGCAACCAATCGCTCCACTAAGCTCTTGTCCGCTCGTGCTACCACGCATGCCACAATACCGTCTGGTCTCTTTTGCGGTGCCTTGGTGTCCACGGCCGGATGACGTCGGTGATACAAGAGATATGGCACTCAAGATTTTCCAGATTCTCGCCGGGTGCAATTTTCATCCTCCGATAATAACTATTACCCATGGCAAACTTCATCCAAAATCATCATAACACGTTGTCTGATTGTTGGAATAGGCGAGTAGTCACGTGGAGATAACGATACGGGCACTCTGGCACATGTATATAGTGAGCTAGTTCCCCAACCTGAAGGTTGGGGGACAAGATCAATACAACGATAAGGCGAACACTCTACAATCTTAACACTGATGGCAATGACCCTCATTTGATGAAGAGCGTTGAAGACACAACAATGTTGCTCTTCAGATCTTCTTGAGTGACTAAATTCAACACATAGAACGTACCACTTCGATTCCAGTGAGACCAACAGATGCGTTTTAGTGCCCAGCACGGCTTGGACGGAATGAATAGGTCCCATCTTCCCGAGCGTGTGCACTACCGATTCTTGTTCCTTTGGCACTATAGAATGTCAGGGTAATGACATTCTGCGTCTCGTTAGGGTCCTTATGAGATTTATGAGCCATTGCACCCCTAACTGAGGTTAGTTATATCATGAAAAGACTTCAACATGAAAGCAAGGAAGTGATGAAATCAGGTCCCCGAGAGGAGAACGGACTAAAATTGATCATTACTTACTGGATCTCATATGTCGCAACATCCGTTCGCTATCATGCGTTGTGAGCAGCAAATATGGGCTTATTATTTCACTTTCACTCACCTCACTCTCAACACTTTGAGAAACTCCCTTAACATTGGCGGCCCACATGGGACCGTCGCTTCCATTTACTCTCTCAACGTCCGCAAGAGTGACACGGCCGATAAGCTGGAGTAGCTTTTTGGCAGTTTTGAAAAATATCTGTACGACATCGCAAAAACTTAGGAAGGAAGCGAATGGCAATAAGGTAATGAGAAATGTTCAGATAGAAACAGAGGAGAGGGGTTTTATAATTTTTGGAAGGTTGTCTTTCACTGTCTTTGGTGCCGAGACTGAAGACCGAGACCTCTCACCAGCGTGGGAGCCATGCATCTTTGGGCGGTTGATGAAACCTTGGGGCTCGCTCTTGGTCGTCACAACACCTCCAAGCTCCTGAAATAGAACAGTATCGCACCATACATCACATCCCTAGCTCATTTAGGCACCATAAGCAGCAACTTGACACCCAATGGCGAGTTCGCCCACCAACTTCAGCACGCGGGTTGCATCACGGATTCACGGGCCAACCGTTTGCAGCGACCCACAACAGCAAACGCGCGCCAACATTCTCCAAGTCAAATGAGTGGAAACGTCATATTATTCGTGCTTCGTACCATGAGATAAGGAAATTCGGGTCTCTCTGTGTGGGCTAGCGAAACCTGTGCACTTAATTTTTAAGCCATGGCCCTGAAAAAGGCCTGGGTGCATGTGCTGTGGTGAGGGGGAAAGATCCTCGGCTGTTTAGTCATGAGGCCAGTTCAAAGTACCAGCCCATACGGAGTAGCTGTGTCTGGTACACTCACCTCATCCCTCAGTACCCTCCTTTTGCATCTGCGGCTCGAGAGCTAATTGCAGATATGCAACGATCATTAACAGCACGCTTGCCTTTTCGAAGGTCAAGCTTCTTCCCTTCATTATTACCTCTGTGCACGAAACAACGTGCGTCGATGAATGCGTTACGAGGAATTAGCCGCCTAGCCCACAAGCTTGGCTGGGTGACTCGAGCGCGTCGTCGGTCGGAGCCACGCACGCTTCCATCTCACGGGTTTAACCTCATTGATGATGCCCGGCTCCTGGAAGAGGAAGGGCTACCGGAATATGACCCTCATCATTTCTACCCAGTCCGACTAGGCGAGATTTTCAACGACAGGTTCCAAACGGTAGCAAAGTTGGGCTATGGGTCGTCCTCTACCATATGGCTAGCTCGTGATCTTCAGTGAGTGGCAAGCGAGTACAAAACGTGATGCGAGATTGACCTTGTATCGCAGAGATCATCAATACGTCGCCCTCAAAATTTACATACACAACTCAGCTCAACACCGAGAATTACCCTTTTATGAAGAACTAAACAAGGCCTTGCCAAGCCAGCATATTGGTGCGGAAAATATTAGGAAGCTTCTCGGCTCATTTAAGGTCAATGGCCCTTTTGGCACCCACATCGTCCTGGTGCTTCAAACCTCTCAAATGAGCTTGCGCGATATGGATACTGTTTTCAGGCAAGGTCGTGGATTTGATGAGAATTTCGTCAAGAGCGCTATCAAGGAGCTTCTACAGGCTCTTGATTTCTTGCATACCAAAGTCCAAGTCGTGCACACTGGTCAGCAGCCATTTTTCATCGTCTTAACACATTCTATCCCTCGTGCGTATCTCCATCCATAGTTCCAACGCTAAATATGAAATGAATCCGACAGATGTTCATCCCGGTAACCTGCTTCTCGGCATTGAGGACAACTCTTTATTTAAGACTCTAGAGGATACTGAAATGACTAATCCAGTTTGTCGGAAGAACGTCTTGGATCGGACCATCTACTCTTCTCGACTTATGAAGCCGAAAGTTGGGCCGCTTCTTCTATCCGATTTTGGAGAAGCCAGGATTGGGCCTGGGCCTCATGCAGGAGACATCATGCCTATTGTGTATAGAGCTCCGGAGACGCTATTGTGGATTCAATGGAGTTATGCTGTGGATATTTGGAGCGTTGGGCTCACGGTATGTCTTTTCGTGCGTTCCCAAGAGTTTTATCAAGCATTCATGCTCACCAGTCCCAGGCATGGGATCTCTTGGAGGGTAAGACATTGTTCAGCGCCAGGAAAGCCGATGGCAGTTTTTCAGATGGCGTGCATTTCTCCGAACTTATAGCCGCTCTCGGCCCACCTCCCAGAGACCTATTGAACCGGCACCACGAGCGAGCACTTGAATACTGGGACGAGAACGGTATGTCCACTTGTAGCTTGTTGTTTGTTAGGCTGATAACTAATTCTGCACCCGTGCATGCAGGGAATTGGGGAGACTTTGTTCCTATTCCATCTGAAAAGACATTGGAAGCAGCAGAGACAAAGCTTAAAGATAAGACCAAGTTTCTACAATTTATGCGGAGAACCCTTGCTTGGGACCCCAAGATACGACCGACAGCTAAGGAACTTATGATGGACCCCTGGCTGCTGGAGGAGGCTTGAAGACATGATGGCGCGAAGCTGACGCAGTATGATCTGTGGACAAACATGTGCCTGAAAATATTTGGGTTAAGTGCCCTGCCTGGAGGTGCTTGTTCTTGGCGGTTATATACTGTCATGCGTATCACATGTTTCCGTTCTCTAGTCGATTCTCTCTTGCGTCTGCATCCGCGTCAGTACCGGCTTAATGACCCATGTACACATACCGATCGATGCGCCTGTCGCATCTAAGCAGAGAACCTAAACCTATCAAACAGATGCATCGGATGCCTAAAGTAGGAAAATGTAATCGGAAGAACCATATGCAGAGAGTTGGAACACAAGTGGCGCCCATTGTTGATGTTGCTTTTGTCAAGAGGCGCGCTCTAGAGTTCCATTTGAGCTTTAGCATACGACAAGGCAGGGTGACAATGTGACAATCACATGCAAGTGCTCCACCGAAAAGTCAAGTACCCTTTTTGTACTGGTTTGCCCGCTAATACCTGGCCGGAATACGATCAAGGAACTTCTTGCCAGGAACCAGAGTGACTTGCCCGACGACTTCAATGCCAGAAGCCAAAACACATCATCGACGATTAACCGGACCCAAACCCAAGCCCACCTTTCACAAACGTCTCATTCATTCCCAACGGACATACGGCTCCTCTAGTTAGCCCTTGGCCCGTCGCGACTCAACACACCTAAAAGATTGCCACGTCCCGCCCTATAGAGTACTGTGGCTGTTTTAAGTGTCTGTCTATTGCTGGGCCTTGCCCTGTCTCTATTCTCCTTCTCCAACTTGACCCCGTTCGCACCTCTCCTTTGCAATACTTTAGTATACGCATCCGTGCGTATAATGCGCTCGACTCCTATGACAAATCTACCTTTATCAAGCTATTCTACTCCGCACTTTCGCCATGCCCAGAGGCAAGCCTCATGATGTCGAGGCCTCTGCCGGTGTAACCTGCCAATACCCGGGTCCCGCCCTACTCCCCAGTCCGATAGCTCATGCTGTCAGCTTGGCTACACGATCAACCTCACTGGCTATCCGTGTTGGATCTCTCGTCGGCTGCTATAGTCTCGATGCCGCCAGGTTCACGACCTTGTCAAGCCTCGGACTGGCACGGAGCTTGGTCGAAACCGTATTGAGCACGGCTGCCCGCGATACTGTATCACTTTCCCAGTCAGATCTAGGCGCTGCCGAAACAGAGACCATCTTGGAGCGTAGCCTGGAAAGTCTACATTCTGCAGTTACCCAGATTGTTTTTTGGACGTCAGCTGGCTTTCGGTTAACAGGCACAACGATATCAACCGCATCCGAGGCTTCACAGCTTCTGTTGGGAAGTCTCGATAAGCTTTTCGGTTCTACCGATTCTTCTCGGGCTGTGGCGAGCATCATCACTCTTGTTCGAAGAGAATTCAATAACCCAGCCACAGGAGTGGGTGGAGAAAAAGTTGGAGTTTCAGACTTGGTGGTTGCCCTCGGAGCATTGGCATATTTACAACAAGCTTCTCGGCGTCAAGCGCCCGAAGAGGCCCGACGACAAGCGTCCGAAGAGGTGATTTGGGATGTTGTGGTCCTCACCGATGGCGAACGAATCGACGTGCGCGGCGATGAAGAGAACGGACGCCAGCTTGCGCCCAGAAACGACCACGATCCTAACGACCTAGCCATTCGATATGGGGCAGGGGAGGATGACGAAGCTGTTATGCAGAGACTCAAGGGTCATATTACAGCTAATCTCGAGCCCGGAACTACCGCATCGATATCTAATTCCGTTTCTTCAGTCCAAACCATCACTGTCGACGTAAAAGGACCCCAACTGCTGTCCCTCCCCACTCCCCCGGGCGCTGAAATAGTAGAGACCCGTGGTGCAGCAGCATCAGCAGGAAACCATCGACAATGGAGTTTCGGCCCAGACAATGACACATCTTACACTGTTGTTTACAGGATTCAGAGGGACAAGTTTCGATCCGCGACATTTCGGGGAGAGGAGGAAGAATCTGGCCCCGCAGTTGTTGAGGTTATAGACGATGACCTTGTTCCGACCGCTGAACCATTGAAGAAACTTGCGCCGGCACCCAGATCCCCTTCCGATACAACGAGCTTGAAAGGTAAGGAGTCTCAACGGTCAGGCTCGACACCTTCAAGAACGGCTGGCTCTCCACGTAGCGTAAGCAACACTAATAGCCCATTTGAAGCCCCCAAATCACGCCGTCCATCCCAGTCGTCCAGCTTAGAAACAACAGCAAACCAAAAAAAGCAAAGAACGCCACCGATAGAACCACTTTCTCGTAGCTCTTCAGCCAAGAAGCGAACTACGGACTCGAGCAAACGATCTCAGCCAAAAAAGAAGCCCGAAACACTCAACAATGGAAAACAAAGCGAGAAGCGGCCTGGTCTGAAGCAGGTCTTGAAGGACAGCAGCCAGTCGCTGTCCAATATGTGGAATAAAGAAGGCTCTGATCATGAACCTAGTCGCTCTATCGCCAAACAACGACCGCAGTGGAAAGGGACTGGGGGCAACATCTCAGAGCCATCAAATAAATTGAAGCCGCCACCTGTTCGGACGCAACCACAACAAGCCCAGCGCAATGTCCCCGCTCGACGAGTCCAGACACCAGATCCCTTTCCGCGTCCGTCATCACGAGCTAGCTACGTCTCGATCCATGAAAGGCGACGAGATTCTGTTGTTTCACTTACAGACGCATACTCTCGAAACTCGACGAGTGGCTTGCGTCCGGCCTCGCCAACCATCTTTCGGACCGACTACTCGACCCAGGAGACAGTCTCGCGAACTCCAGGTGAACTATATCCTCTTGAGCCCGTACCTCCATCTCCTCATAGTAAAGGCCATCATCATCTCCAATCGACTTCTTACGCGCCCAGCCTCTACAGCCTAGCCACAAATGATTCTCAGTCATCGCTGCTCTTAGCATCGTATTACCAGAAGAGCGCGTATAATGCTTCTAATGCCCTAAACACGCTGCGTAACGAAGGATTTGTGGACGGGACGTTTCCAAGCGGCCACTTACTACCGAACATTGCAAGGTATATGAGATACTCGTCGGCTTGTTATGGCTCACATTTCATGAAACTTCTTGGTATCTCAAATGAGCTTCCCGCTAGCCAAATGGGCGACAGAACCCACCAGGACGTCCGACACTTTGTACACCACACTGAATCTCAGGATAGCAACATACTCCTTGCGTCGTTTGTAGATCCACAGGGAGGGTCTGACGCCACAGGTTCCACGGGTACCGGTGTGCCGTTGGTACATTACATCTCACTCGACCATGAGGCAAAAGCAGTGGTCCTAGCATGCCGAGGAACTTTGGGGTTTGAGGATGTCCTTGCTGACTTGACATGTGACTACGACAACTTGATATGGAGAGGACGAGCGTACAGAGTGCACAAGGGCGTACACGCCTCTGCTAGAAGACTCTTATTCGGAGATGATGGCCGAGTTCTCGTCACACTGAAAGAAGCACTGCTGGAGTTTCCGGATTACGGTCTCGTGCTTTGTGGTCATTCTCTAGGAGGGGGAGTCACCTCCCTTCTCGGCGTCATGCTTTCGGAACCCAACCCAGACGGTCCGGGCTTCGTCATCTCGGCCGAACCGTACTCAAAACTCCTTACACAGGGGCTTGGAACAGGGCACAAGTTCAGCGATGTCCGCCTCCCGCGGTCTCGTCGGATCCACGTATATGCGTATGGACCACCAGGCATACTGTCCCCGTCACTGCGCAAAATTACGCGTGGGCTCATCACAACCGTCGTACACGGCAACGACATTGTGCCCCATCTATCACTCGGTGTACTTCACGACTTCCAAGGTCTAGCGCTTGCGTTCAAAAAGGACGAGAATCAGACTAAAGCTGAGATCCGGCGTAGAATGTGGCAGGCTTTTCAAGAGCATCTCTCTGACAAGTGGTACCAGACCACACCAGCGGCCCCCAAAGAAGGCGATGAAGAATGGGTGCTGCCTATGCTACAGGCACTGCGAGGCACGATGAAGGGCAAGAAATTGGTGCCGCCGGGCGAGGTGTTTGCCATTGAGTCGACCAGGGTGCTCAGACGCGATGCATTTATGAAGCAGGAGGAAGGTCCTATTGGGAGACCGGCGAGGAGAGTGGTGCTCAAGTACATACGGGATGTGGAGGGACGGTTTGAAGAAATAAGGTTCGGAACGGGATTGTTGACAGACCACAGCCCGGCCAAGTACGAGGATGCGCTGAATAAGTTGCGACTCGGCGTGGTGGAATGATTGAACGATGAAATGATTTTTAACAGAGCAAATGTAGACGCATGAGCCGTGGTATTGTAGCATTGAAGAGACGATTTTTTGTAATTGCGGGCTGGCGGGTATATTAGACTCTGCTTTGATACCTCTGCATAACAGTAGACAATAGATGCACAGATATAACTAGTGGGCAAGACTAACGTTTTGGAGAAAAAAAAAGTGTACTCTGTAAATAGTTGGCGACGATTTTAGTTCCGGGTTGAGATTAGTATCCTTAATAACGCTAAACTCCACCCCCAGGCATCACCACCACCAACGCAGCTACGGCATCACGGCCCTCGTGGAGCGGTGCGTCAATCTGTTTCAGGTACGCACTCCAACATTAAAGTTTTGCCTGCAAATATCTGCGCCCCCCGGCTCAGCATTACAGTCCCGTTGCATCTGTGCGCGTAGGTTCGTGGCACAGACCTCGTCGGCCAATCTGCCTCGTCCAAACTCCCGTCCAAGTGGGCGAGAGGTGAGACATGCACGCCCTCGCGCTGGATTTTGATCCAGCCCTGCTAACCGCCCGTTTGGCCGCGTCTGTTGAGCGCCCTTCTTTTTTAACCACTCGCCCCCTTTTCTTTGCTTTGACAAAAAAGTCAAGCTGCTTTTATCCCTTTCGATCTCATTTCAGCTATCTTTATTTCTGAGGGTGAATAAACCTTTGCCATATACCACTCAATAACGGCACTCCAAACCCTCCACTTACATATACAAACCCTTCATTTATATATATATACACGGTACGTTATACGAACATGCACGTCTCAGCAACATCCCTCGTCACGCTCGCGCTGGCCGGCCAGGCGCTGTCCCGGGCCGCGGACAAGGTGTGCACGGCGGCGTCGGCGACGACGCTGCTCTGGCGCATCACGGGCTTCGAGTACCGCGACGAGCGGGTGGCCATAGCCTCGTCCCAAGTCAACTACGGCCTGGCCAACTTTACGCTGCAGAACTCGGCGCTCTCGCACAAGACGACCTGCACGGGGCTGTCGACGCGCAGCCCCAACTTCTTCACCGGCGACACCGCGTATGACTGCGCGGTTCTGCCCGACGACAAGGGCGACTTGTCGAGCTTCACGTTTGACCGGGCCACGGGGCTGCTGAGAATCAACCAGACGTGGGTGTGTGAGAGGGACGGCAGCCGCTTTGGGGGCCAGGGGCATGTCAAGCTCGACTTGAAGTGTGGTGAGAATCAGTCGGTTTCGAACTCGCCCTTGGGGGGGAACTATTCGGACCGGGCTGTGGTTTGCGACAAGGTGGATGTTCCTGTGAATATTACCTATTTGGAGGGCACTGTTTAATTTTGGTTTTTAATTTGGAGAAATGAGGGGGGTTGAATTGGATGGCAGGGGGATTGGGTGTTATATGTGTATATTATTGTTACTGAATATGGTTTGAACATTATGGTTTCCTTGAAGTGTCAACTGGTTGGTCGTGATGACTGAGCGGTGGATTTCGGTGTGGATGGGATTTGTAGCTGCCTGCGCCGTCTCTATTTTCGAAGAGGTGGTTACGTTGCAGCCTGAGACTGGTATGCGGAGTATGTATTTGGGGTGGTCTGTTTCTGTCTGCCTGTCTTGACGGGCGTGAGACGCTGCGTTTCTCGTTAGTTTGTAGAGGAAGAGAGTGCAAGTGAATCTCTAGATGCCGAGCTCCGGTACCAAAAGGTAGTGCTATGGTGGTTTCTATCGGCATCGTCACCGAGGACCAAGTTGATGTTGTTGACATGGTTCGGGAGAAGGAACCTCGGCACTACGGAGCAGAGGGGGGGGGATCTCGATGTGCGACAAGGTTCATCCCTTGACGATCTGTTCTCGGCAGGGGTCGACGTGCTGTTCCACCGAACCGCCGTGTCCGTCGCGCTTTATAGCGTCGTAACGCTGAGCGCGCAGAATTGTCCAAGGAAGAAATCCATTTCGCAATTGAATCAAGTCAAAAGCCCAAGCAATATGTGGCGGCCGCGTGAGCATGTCGGAACAGCGGGAGCGAGAGAGCGTCTGGGTGGGTCTGCCAGTTGTCACAGCTGCCCATGTCCTAATTGGGAAATTGTAAAGCGTCTGGTGCGAGGCTGCAACTCGCGATTACGCCCGCAGAACTGGCTCCTTAATAAACCAAGTCCTATTAACTGCCTTGTCCTGTTTCCTCTACGTAATGAAGAATGTCGATTCTTGCGATGATTATAAGAGCGGCTGGGTGTCGCGGCGCGTGCAGAGTGCAAGATTCGAAGGGTCAAGGTGGGTGACAAGCGATGTATTGTATTAGATACGTAATGAGTCTCCTACTTTGTTAATGTAGTTTATACCCATCTCGCGATAGTCATCAATAATAATACCCCACCCACGTTCTCGGAAGCGTATTGCCTTCTTATTCTCACCGTCCCACTGCGGCCAGTTAGGCTGTGACAAAGGCTCAAGGAGGGCTTAGAGTCAATAGCTCAATTCATCTAATAACAGTCTTTGGTCTCAAAGGCCCTTGGTTTTCTAAGTCCTTGAGGGACCAAAGGTCTCTATAAGTACAAGAAGTCGGTGAGGGCCTTCTGCCCTAGGTCCCGTGATCGTAGCCCTCGTGTAACCGTGTGACAGTACTCCCAATCAGCAACACGTACCAATTTCCCTGGTTGAACACATAGAGTATGAATATGATTGCACGGTTGGACGGACAAGCCATGCAATACTATCACTAAGGAGGATCTTTCTCCAGATTATGGTTTCTGGTACCATATCAGAGAGGTGCTTACGATGGGAGGTTAGATAATTGCAGTAGTATAGTTTAGCTATTTACTAACAGAAGATGCAACTCAGGGCAGGTTCCGTAGATCAACTTAATCTTCATCCAGTCATCCATAAAAACACTGGGGCTCACAGATGTTGATTATCTTGATTTCTTTCTGAACCAATGGGTTAAGAAAACTGGTTGTAAAATGCTGCATCCCCGATCGGATACTTGATCCCGAAGGGCGTGGCTTGTCGACCGAAGGGCGGAAAGAGGCCCCATAAAACCTCCACCCTGGCTAAGGGAATTCGGAGGGGCCGGGTCGGGGTTGCCCCGTATTCTCACTCCAATTGCCAGTTTGTCTAAATGTTATAAGCGGATTGATGATGATCAATCCAACCAAAAGAAGCTGCCTACGAGGCCCATTTTTTACGGGTCTGCAAATCCCTGGGTTGGCAAGGGCGAGACTGAATCACGTGACCACTTCTTTTAGCACCTAAATAGTTATAAGAAACCCGCAACCTGCATAAACTTTGAACCATCTAACATGGTTCACATTGAGGGAGGAGACTACACCATGACCGTTAAAGCAGCAACTCACTCCAAGATCCCTTGGATCGAAACCCCGCTCATCAAATCGGCGACCCTGAGCGCCGCCGCCGGATGGTAAGAGTGTAGTCTCGCACGACTCATCACGATCTCGCTGATGCCTTTTTCAGCAATGTCTTCCTCAAACTTGAGAACCTCCAACCGTCAGGATCGTTCAAGTCCCGTGGTATCGGCAACTATCTAGTCTCCCAACTTGCTGCTGTCCAAGCCTCAAACACCCACTCCACCAGAAAGCCGCACTTTTACTGCTCATCCGGCGGCAATGCTGGTCTCGCTTGTGTCCATGGCGCAATCACTCTAGGCTGCGAGGCGACCATTGTAGTCCCCCTCAGCACAACGCCGTACATGATAGGGAAGTTGCGAGAGGCTGGCGCCACAGAGGTCATCCAGAAGGGCGCTTCGTGGCAAGAGGCAGACAATTATCTGACCGAGACCCTAATGGCGGATGCGAGGGCGAGAGGAGAGGCGGCCATCTACGTCCCGCCCTTTGATGCGCAGCAGATCTGGGATGGGAATGCAGGGATTGCCAAGGAGATTGTGAGGCAATTACCCGCTACGGGGAGGCACTATCCCATCAATGAGGCTGCTGGTGACGGGAATGCAAGCCTGGCCACGTCTGCGCCGAAAATCGATGCTATTGTGTGCAGTGTTGGTGGAGGCGGGTTGTTTGCCGGCATCATGCAGGGGATCGACGAGCTGAAACTGAAGCAGACGACGGTCATTGCAGTCGAAACCGAGGGCGCCGACTCATTTTCACAAGCAATCACCAAGGGGGAACTGGTCACCTTGCCGGCAATCACGAGTCGAGCGACGAGCTTGGGCGCAAGACGAGTCTGCCAGAGGGCATTTGAGTATGGTATGAGAGACACTGTGGCCAATGTTGTCCTACCTGACTCGGAAGCCATCGGCGCGTGCATGAGGTTCCTAGACGAGGAGCGTCTGCTAGTCGAGCTGGCTTGTGGCGTGTGCCCTGCTCTTTGCTACAACGGACAGCTTGAGAAGCTGGTTCCGGGCTTCAATGAGAATAGTGTAGTTGTATTAGTTGTGTGTGGTGGGAGCAACATGACGTTCGAGATGATGGATCAATACACGAGTGAGCAGGCGGGATAAGGTCATAGACGGTACTTGAACGAGCTATAGATGCATAAAATATAGAAATAGATTGCTATGGCAGTTGCTGGGGCTCGTATGGACGACTAGAGACTATAGAATAGGAACAAGGAAAGAAGTGACAAAGAGGCAGTATAAGGTTGGAGTCAATAAGCCGAACATTGGTCTCTAATGCTGTTGAAAAGTATTGCGACAAGACAAAGGGGAATCCTGGGGCCTATCTATTGCCACCCTGCTGCGTTCAATATCGCCAACGTCCAATTTGACAACAAGGGCATCCCTAATTTCACCCTCTGGGCCTGCGTTTGTATTGCGCTTCCTAATGGCTACCTTGTATCCTCCCGGCCTACTTAAGCAAAAATGAGCAGGTCGTCGAATAGCATCAGGGATGATAAAGAACCGCATATTTCAAGATGACAGTACCACTCTTATGCAGCTTTTCGACCGCTCTCAAGTCCAATCTGCGGACGGACTCGGCTGTTCCGTCCGACCCAACAATCATCTTATTCGCTTGCCGAAAACAGCCGGCATAATCGCCATCCCTACGACGTCTTTCAGGCGTGCCTCCCAAAGCGCTGCTGCAAGCTGCCCGCCACTTATGAACCACATGTCTCGGCCATCCTGCGCCTTCAATTGACGAATCGTGGCGACGAAATCATCGCGTAGGATCGTGTACCCGGGTAGGATCGTGTACTATCTTGTTTCATTTCACGAATCACAACGAGGACGTTTTCCTTTGCCTTTGCGGCAAGAGGGTTCGCCACTCCGTAGGACGTAACGACCTCGTAGGTCTTGCGACCCATGATGTAGCAATTCGGCATCGAGGGCATCAAAACCTATGCTGTTGTCTTCAGTGATCCAATCTGCCGAGCCGTCCGGCGAGGCGATGAAGCCATCAAGCGACATGGCTGCATTGTACCAAATACGGCGCATTTAAAAAAAAAACAATTCACGATGTAGGCGTTGAGTTTACTCATTTTTAAGCGTTTCGCGAAGCGTCATGTACAGCCCTGCCTTTGACGTGAATAATACCAGCGGGGCAAGGCATCCAATCATGGCCGATTGTCATAATGAGTTGTTTCTTGGCATCATGTTCTTTCGAGGTTGCAAACCAGAGCCAACCAAGCCTCGAGGCCATCACAGAGGGAGGCGCACAAACAGCGTCTAAGCCACCCGTGAAATGTCCCCCGATCCGGTTGTTCATTCGACCCTAAACCCCTTACAGTGATATTGACGCGTAACGGGTCTCGGTAGCGTTATGATAAATTGGCGGCGGAGGCTTGCGCGCACGTTTCAAGGAACGGAGTACGCGTAGGAGTTGAATGAGATGCGGCACGAAGAATCTGATTCGAGTCTCGCGTGGTGAGACAACCGAGTCTGCGCCATCATACCTGTATTCCCCCCGGCGGGCAAATTTCAAGTTGTCAGGACAAAACCTAGTGCGAAATCCGGTGGCGTTGGGGAGGCTCAGCTATCCTCAGATAGCGTCATCTTACTCTTCCTACCCATCAATGAAGTGGTTAAAACCCGCAGCCTTGCCTTGGCATCACCTCAGGATGAACACGTTTGTGTCGTCCACTTAAAGTTACTTGTCGGTTCAAGACAATCGATCAAAATGCCCCCTAAACGAGAAGACGCCGGGGTGCTGGACCAGAAACGGCAAGATGGCAGCTATTCCCAACCACAGCCATCTTCACCAGCAACAGTTCCGCCCGCCTCATCGCCCACATCTACGGCCGCGATAATCGCCGGCCCAAGCACGACGTCAGATCCTGCAGAGAGGGCACCGACGTATGAAGAGGCTACCGAAGCAAAGGGGGGTGTTCCGACCGTCGACTCACCCTTCAACTTCCCTACATCCACGGACCTCCCTCCCTCATATGAAGCTCACGCCGAGGCAGAAGCAGGACCGAGCTCATCGAAGTCCGTCAGGACGAAACCCGTCGCCATTCCACAAGTCGCTCCTGAACCCGCGGCCCCGTTCCTCCCGGCCTATCCTCCGTCCCTCCTCGCACACGGCATCACCGAGCAGACGTGGCGCTCATTCTTAGACACCGTGTCCGCCTTCCTCACAGCAAAGGTATCTGGCCGTGCCATTGCTCATGCCGGAGACATGGCGAAGAGTCTCGGCGAGCACCCAAAAACTACGGCAAATCACTCGTCAATCACACCAAAAGCGTGGGCAAGCAACTCGTCAAAGACGCCAGGCGCTTCGACGTGTTCGGCGTGGCGGCGGGCGTCATTGGAGGCGCCATCTCCATCCCCATGCACGCCGCCTTTGGCGCTGTTGATACCATATTCCAGATTCCCGGCACCGCTGTGTCTGCTATTTCGAAGACGCCCAGGACCCCGCTGCAACGGGCGGCCACGTACTCGGCCGTTGCGAGTAAAGACTGGCTAAATGCCAGAGGACTTCATGCTGTACTCTTGGACACGAGACAGCTGGCCGAGATGATTCACGTCCCGGGGAGCAAGTTTCTCGAAATGGCAGCCGAGGGGGCCAAGAGCGGCACGGCGGCAGCTACAATGTGTGCCTTGGGTGGGCATATTGAGAAGCTGAACATGCTGGAGGATGAGGTTGTGGTGTTGAGTGACAGGTCGTTGTGGTTGGTGCTGGTGCCGGTTGTGAAGGAGGACGAGGAGAAGCAGGGTACGAAGTAGGCAGTGATTGCCAGGCTCTTGAGCGATGAGAGAATGGATAAGTGCCTCATGCATGTCATGTGTTCAACCAGCTTCATATAAGTAATGCGCGGTGAGATGGGATGGCAGTCTGTTTCCTGTCTTGTGCGTTTTATCCGAGTTTGCAGTTGCCATTACAGTATGAAGGTCGTTACGCTTGCAATGCCCTCGAACACAAAAAGCACTCTACTCGAGGTTGATGATATTGACTCCTCCAACATCGATACTTTTTGCGACGGACTCGGTTGCCATCTCATGTACCTGAGGTGCTTGAGCTGGGCACAACTGTATGCTACTCTTCGGGTATCAAAAGTTTATTGTTACATTCCAGGCGAATGATCCGCGAGGATAGAATGCATCCATCGGGGCTTGCCGCAAAGCCTTTCGGCCCTCCCAAGAGTCTCGCTGATGCGGCACCGTGGTCTCAGGCTATGCGAACATGAGCCCCGGCAAGCGAGATACGATCCATTGCAAGGTGAGAGGTACTCTTTATGCCATATAACTGAATATGGCACGTTGGACAAATCTACGACTCGCATGACCGCTCATGGAATCATCCTGTGATTGATATGTAGCTTTAATCTGGTGGATTTGGCATCAGGCAATCCTTCAAATTCTAGACTGCGCGACGGCCTGGACGCCGACTCCGGATACATCGAGCAGAGAATAACGACGGTGCTTGCTTCTTTCGGAGCGTACTGCAGCCTGATGTCCATTGCCATAAAAGCCTGTTCAACACACCGGGCTATAGCCTCGGGAACACCACATCGTCCTGAACTTGCTTTTCAAGAGTAACCTACAAGTCTCTTTACCTATTGTAGTCTAACATAAGTTACAACAAATTCGGCAATTGCCATCAATTCTGTGGTCCTCAGAGAAGCCACGTTCCTGAAAACCACGACCACATTGCTCAGTCTACGTGGTACAGACGCCCCCAAGTCTTGCAAGGCATAACTTTGAGTAACCTTGGAGCAACCAAAATGGAGGACAGTTTACAATCGATGCGGCATCGTGGGCTTGGTCTTACCTCACAGCCGTCAGCAATCCGGACATAATTGATCCGCCAGTAAGACGGCAAGCCTTATTCCAACACGCGCAGGAACTATTTCCCAATTCACATGCCAGTTTACGTACCTTTTTCTTTCCCTCGTGCCACTTGGGATTTGCCCATGTCGTACACAGGCGACTTGGTTATTACCGCTCGGCTTTGAGTTGCCGAGTTGCACAACTCCAAGCCTGTCACACTTCTAAAACTCTGGGGTGTTGCCGAGATTCAAATTGCCAATTTCTTACGCATCGCTCATTTCATCATTGTACTAGCTGTTCTCAGGGGTATCGAAACACTCGCTCTAGTTGAAGGAGGTACGAGGCGCGGCCTCGTTGAATGCTCGCTCGGCTGGACTCGACCTCTTGCATGCCCAACTAGGCTGAAGCACTACGGAATACAAAGCAACTATTTTACAAGTTACATCGCGCGAACCCAATATTCAATCGAACTTGGGAGACCATTTCTGGATGCCGCCGGGTTTGAGGAGAGAGCCTTGGGACTTGGGAGATCATTATTGACTGTCCTTCTAGGTCTAACCTGCCACATGTTATGATCACATCTTCAACGTTGGTAGGCCTGGCGTCCAGCAAGACCCCAACTAGCACGATCCTTTGGTTCAACAAACTACTCAGCAACTGCACGAGATCCATGTGGGGGGAGATCCTTCTTTCTCAACGGCCATGTTCCCCGGCACGGTTGACAAAATCAGTCAGTCAGCGACGATTAAAGGATGTGAATATCAACGAGAGCGTTTCAAGTACAGGATTTCAGGGGGTTAGGCAGGGTCCCTTTCCTCATGAAGCCACATCACTTGCGCTTAACCAACAATTTGCCATTGTCCACCCATACTAGCCACCGCCTTATCCCCCAGGCGTGGCCGAAAGCCTGATCTGCAAATTGTAACTACTAGCCAGGTTCCACGGGCTCGGGCGCAGAGCTTGTTGGTCAGGATTCTACCCGGCTACCTTGGTCAGGTCCTGGCGTTACTCTCCGACAAATAAAAGTTCGGGATACAGGAGTGTGCGATGCTTAATCCGGCCCGTTGTGGGTAGATGGTGACCGTACCGTAAGCGCGCTGCCCATGTACCCCTTGTGAACAGAAAAGACAAAAGCCATGCTGTGCTTCCTTACATCTTATCGATCTAATTTAGCCCCAAGTCACACTCACATGGCCCCTCCACGAACGCAAGATGTTGCTGCGAGGTGGTCCGGAACTGGGAATATGGGTTTCCTGCAATCCTTCGAGTTGCCGGGCATGAAACTAGCTCAACGTACACCAAGTCCTCTCGCATACCGTGGGAATGCTTCCAACGACTGTCCAAGTTAGCATTGTGACACCAATCCCTAGTATTGGCAGACGTTGCAGGATTCCAACCAACGTTGCAACGAACAAGGATTGTGTTTGTCGTGTCTGGCAAGAAGCTGCGGTCGAGAAACGCACCGCGTTTCCGACAGCGTGATCATTCTGGCGCCCCCAGTCGGACTGCTTAACTCTGGAAGCCCGATATGTATGTCAGCGTCGGTATACGTTTCACGTAGCAAAGTGCCCTTCATCAGGAGAACAACACTTGATTGGTAGCTTTGACGGCAAACACAAACAATCGAGCCGACCCCAATGGTAAGATTACAAGCTTGGCATCACATCTGTCAGAGGAGCGAGAAAGTCGCCCATCTCTGTATAAAAGGTCTAGTATCTTCTCCTCAAATGCTTGAGAATATCCTCATCCACTCACTCCAATACCAAGTACTCTCTCAAGAAGACAAATACAAGACCTTGTTCTCACAATGTACTCCATCACCAAAGCCGTCGCCGCCGTCCTGGCCCTGACTCTCACTGCCGCGGCTGCTCCCGCCGCTGAAGGCGAGCACATGAACCAGCTCGCGGCTCGCACCAACGGCGACTTCACCTACTACAACACTGGCCTTGGCGCCTGCGGTAATACCAACAACGACGACGAGATGGTGGCCGCTGTAGGCCACGGCCTGTATGACCGCTCTCATCCTTGCGGCCGGAAGATCCGCATCCACTACAGGGGCAAGTCTGCTGAGGTCAGAGTTGTTGACCGTTGCGGCGGCTGCAACGACAACTCTTTGGACTTGTCCCCCGCTGCTTTCAAGAGGATTGTCGGCAGCCTTGGACCCGGTCGCGTTCAGGGCAACTGGGAGTTTATCTAAACGGTATATATACGCGGATAACGGATCCTCGGTCTCAAGGGACACCGGGTGCGAGAACGTTTCGTTGGTACATGGATTACTTGGATCAACTGTATATAGTTAAGAGTATCATACATACCGAATGTAATTATCTTTTGTCAGTTTGGTCAACTGCGAATTGGTGATTTTGTGCTGTGTATTGAGCCAGAGGCGAGGCAACATTGAGGTTTCTACGGAGTGAATGTAGTATAAACGGCGTCCATTGGTCAGTCAGCTTCTGTGAAAGGAAAATTTTCACTCTTCAGAATTGCCATCATAGTTGACTTGTTTGACTTCTGAAGGTTGATACAGTTTACTACCGGTTGCGTCGACGCTGAAACTTGTGGCGGAAGCGATTGATAGCCCATCTTTACGAAAGCCCGTCACATTTAGCATACACAGTATCGACCTATCACGTTTGGTGCTGATCAATGCGTGAAGTTGTTGTATGTGTTCGTGCTGACCTAGTCGTGTATTATTAGGAGTAGGGTTACAAGCAGAGTGACTACAGAGATATTTAAAGATGTCTCGTAGTATACTAGCTGCTAGGTAGGGTTCTATAAGTGGTAATATTAATCTTTAAACCTTCTTTTATTTAAGATTATGAAGTTCCCTTTGAATACCTTATTATACTCTTATAATTAAAGTATAATTAAAGCTTAATTATACTAGATCGCGTTACTCTTATTAGGTTTTAGGTGGCCCGTGCCTCGCCCCCCCGTAATTGGTCCCTAACATGCATATACAGCGAGAGCCTACGTACACTCTGTCGATTTACAGAAAGACCTATTTAGATCCAATGCCGCTCGCTTTCATAATGGCGAGACATAATCAGGCTCTTCTTACCGCTTGTCAAGTCGACAATGGGCCTAAAAGCGAAGTGTCCACGACGCCGGGAGGCCTAAATCTCTTGCACAACGGCCTGGTCAGAGGTACATGTGTTTTGCCAGACTGCACCAAACTACCACGGTAATTTCGATATACAGATTTCTCGTCTTCATACTCAGCCAGTCTATGATATTTTCCATGCACCTTGAAATTCTCGAGGCTGTTTAGTCCGCATCTTGACGCGCAAGCATGTCTTGGTTAATTTGTAAGGCTGTTGATATTGTGTAGGAGCGTGATACTGAAGGCAAAGCCGACCCAAATCAACACCTAGATCATCGAGTCCAAATCCTGAAACTGGTGTCCTGGGATGAACAGCCTTGCTACAGTACCATATGTATGACCTGGTACCCTCCACCCCCCATCTTTCGATGCCAAGTACTACTAGCCGCGCGGGCGTCGCAGGTGCTGGTCTGCATATTGGTCGCGATTAGGCTCTCGCTTAGCAGCGTTAGCCTCAAGAATATCATAGTTACAGTGTTTTTTTTTTTTTTTTTTTTTTTTTTTTTTTTTTTTTTTTTTTTTTTTTTTTTTTTTTTTTTTTTTTTTTTTTTTTTTTTTTTTTTTTTTTTTTTTGGTTTCAAGGGGGGCAGGAGTTTTCACACCTGCCCTGGGGAGGGGTAAGTGGGCGTAAGGGCCACTATTGCACTGCAAGCTAGACTGGAAGAACTTAAACCTCAAATTAATCAAACTTGACTTTTTCCTACGTCACCTGTCTTTGTCCTGCGCTGGCTTTCTCAAGCTCCTCCCACATTTGAAGTTCCTTAGTGTCTCAGTAACCCCTGCAGGTTTTTGCTCAGTGACGAGGTCACGCCTGGCTAACAATAGGAAGAAGGGACACCAAGCAAACACCGGATGCCTCCAGCACCAGTCAATCTCTCTCGCACTTGACCATCCTGACACCAGGCAGCTTCCCTGCTGATAGAATACCTGCCGTCTGACATTCCTCACATTGGCTGACGGCGCCTTCTCAATGCCAACTTCGGCGCGTAATGAGCGATCTGGTCGGTTGCTCGAGCCAACCTGCTTATCGCTTTCCGACACCCGTTCCTCTTCTTGCTTGGCTGACCTCCCACAATGGCCACCCATGGCAAAAAGAAAGAGACAGCAAGTAGTCGACTCTCCTCTCGACGAGATCCCATCCAACAAGACGAAACCGAGCAGCATATGCTCTAAGCTTTCGAGTACGCAGAGAAGAGAGGCACGAGCAGACGACCCTGCGCAAGATCAAATTCTACCCAAGGAGCCGAAATCAAGTGGTACGGTGCATAGAACCTCCAACTTCCCTCCCGAATTCTACGACGACCTGCCTAAGATTTGGCTCACGTCTCGTGCTTTGCGAGAACTTGACCGGCGGAACGAGCAGCTCCCCTCCCCCAAGCCTAGAGCTAGGTTTGTGACATCTCGAGCTGCAAAGGTTGCTGCTCTTGCGAGATGCGGTTTCCCAGATCTTGCCCTGGCCGTGTTTGCAACAGCTGGTGGCCCAGATCTTAGCGATCTTCGAGGGGTATGCTTGTATGATCCATCGTCGCTGGCATCAACTCTGGCTTTCTTTAAGTATGCCGAGCCGATAAAGATCACCATGGCCTCCACATCGCCCTCTGCGACGAGAAAGCCAGTCTCTGCAGGTAACGCGCGGACACGGTCAACTAATGCGACCACCCTGTCCTTGAAAAGGCGTTCATCTGCCTACGATACCAACTTTGGACAGCATTGTATTGAACACAACATTTACCCCCCTGTCTACAAGTTCCCCGATGGCAGCCGGACCCCAAAGCCGGCAAACTTCGGGGATATTCGTCAGGCTTTAAAGGTTCCAAGGGGCTCTCTTTCGTCCTCTATTGTTCCTGAGACGGCCTTCAAAGACTTTGAAGACAAAACCGCCACCGAGTCTGAAGGTACAGTGATGCGTAAGGTGATCCCGCTCATTGCTGGCGACGCCGATATCCCGAATGAGGGTCATCTTCCCTTCATCAATCTGAATTCGATAACTGGGGATACCACCATCTTTCCAGTGCCTGATTTCTTCGATGGAGCCCATCCCGGGGCTTTGGACAAGAAAGTCAGACAAGATCTCGACAAAATAATCATACCAAACAAGAAAGTAGGGATCCCCGTGGCACCCAACTTCTTCCTGGAAGTCAAAGGCCCTACGGGTACCCCTAAGGTAGCGGTATGGCAGGCGGTCTTGGATGGTGCGCATGGGGCTCTCATTATGCATACCTTGCAAAATTACCTCCTGGATGAGCCCACCTTCGATGGCAACGCCTACGCATTTTCTTCGACCTTGATTGACGGGTGCCTCAAACTATATGCACACCATCTCACTGCCCCTGCCAAGTCTGAACAGATGCCGGGCTATCACACCACTCTTGTCAAAGCCTGTGCTTTGAGTGATGATGAAGTTTACTCAGAAGGTAGGAGGGCATTCAGAAATTTGAGGGTCAGGGCACAAGAAGACCGCGACCGGTTCATCCAGATGGCCAATGCGAGAGCGCGCAGTCTAGGCACAGAAGACGATCCTGTAAGCATGATCCAAGAACACAATGGAAGCGAATCTGGTCACCAGGTGGGTACCTCGAGTTGAGAGTCGAAGGAGGGAGGTTAAAGAAGGGACGCCATTGCGAAGGTGCGACAGGCCCGCCATGATTTGAGACTATAGAAGGCCTAGGAGCCGGGGTCACTGGTGATAGTGGTGCAGGAGGGAAAGCCCCCCGAGCTCAAGGCGCGATGGAGGGGGCCCTTTAAATAAGTAATAGATTAATCTTGATAAATTAATTAAATACTTTTAAATAATTTATTAACTTATTAAAAAAATGAAAAACATGAGTTAAACTAAAGGTATTTTGAAAACTTTCTCTTAAAGAATACTTGATATAAATGATAATAAAAGCTTATTTAAGAAAGTTAAGTTTTAAGCGCTAGATTAACTAAACGATAGCGTGGAGTGACCAATTCAACAATCTAGGTATTTCTGACAGAAATAATACAACTAAAAAAAAAAAAAGAATATACACGGCGTTAAATCGTCTCACACATAATTGCATGTTCCGCATGCCCCATAAACTTGGCCTGAATCTGCATGCTATCCAACACCCTCCGCTTGACGCCCACATCCTCGATATCCATAGGCAAGAAGGCGCCGTGCGTAGCCTTGAATTCGTACCTCTTCAAGATCCCCCACATGCGGGCCAACTCGTCGGCACTCAACGGAATATAATTCGGGATGCTCCAAAGGAACGAGAAGGAGTTGAGACCAGGAGGCTTCGCGCGCGTGGCGCCAGTCCCGTCGACTTCCCATTTGCCCATGCCCGCGGGCGTGGTCATGAGCGTGTCGGCAATGAAGAGGCGCCCGTCGAACAGGAGGACCAGCGAGCCGGGGAAGTGCCCGCCAAGCTTGATGGCCACGGCGTCGGTGTCTTGAATCCTGGTTTCGACCCGGTTGACGAGAACCTGGTGGCCAGAGTCCATGGTCGTCCAGACCTTGTCCTCGGAGGCAATGTACACGGGGCAGTTGAAGGCCCGGCCCCATTGGACATGAGTGCTGTAGTAATGCGGGTGGCTGATGACAATGGCCTTGAGACCACCCAGCCGGTTGATATGGTTGATGGTTTCTGGGTCGAGGAGAGTCAGGCAGTCCCAGAGGATGTTGCCTCGGGGGGTGCGGATAAGAATCGCCCGCTGCCCAATGGCAAACTTGGGCATGGTGGCGATGGAAACGAGGCGACGGTCGCCGGCGTAGGTGGTGAATTCATTGCGGTGCTCCTTGGCCACTTCGTCATGGGTCGTGAATGACTGTCCTGACGGCGGGACGTATTGTCGCGGGTCGTCGCAGATGTGGCACGTCTTGACGACAGACCTGTCAGACGATGTGAATTGAGTGCCGCACGCGGTGCAGATGAGCCATGAGGCGGTGGCAGCAGGGTCGTACTTTTCCGCCGTGAAGGTCATATTTGGCTGATTGTTAAAGGCTTGTGAGTTTGTGTTGCTGCATGGCATAAATGTGACGGACTTGGGTAAACTTTCTAGGTACCTACATACCTACTAGGTAGGTAGGTACATCTAAATATGTACCTACATACGCAATCCCCCAAGCCAGCACAACCACGTGGTCAGACGAGTGCAGCCCATTCTTGCGCACTACCCGAAGATTATGGTTCATCTCGCGACTTCAGCCTCCTCTCGAAGAACCACAGCCTCAGCTTGGCTTTCATCAAGATGGTCCAAGACGCGAGCATGCTCGACAGGCCCGTCAGCTTTCCGCACCGTGGTTATTTCCGTCGAATCACGGAAATGTTTGCTATGCCCTTCCAGTCTGGTATTTATTACTCACATTGCTGCCTCCACTTTTCCTTGGTCCAGACAGCAAGCCCCGATCTTGTACAAGCACCCCGCATAGAAAGGATGCACACGCGCCTGGCCGCCTTTTACCCAATATTTGAAGCGCTCTGCGCTTCCATGTAGTGAGCCTCGGCGGCCTCAAATTCCCGCTGGCGCCGATTCATTGTGGCCAATGAAAACAAGGCACTAGACAAGCAAGTGTCTGGTCTCATTAGCTGCAATGCATTCATCGCTTAAGCTAGTCCGGGTATCTCACTATCCAGGCATCGCCCAGTTCAGTGGCTTCTCAATCCTAAGTCGAGGTATGGCAATGTCGAACATTTCTTTTGCTTTGGCGTACTTTCCGCGATAGGTCAAGCAACGGGCATAGTTCTTGATGTGCCGAGCCGGTCTATCGCGAGATTCCTCCCCGTCTTTAATCATACTTTCCCACCATTCCCTGGACTTTTCGAACCACTTTTCTGATTCTTCATGCAGATTGGCAGTGTTGTGGCAGTAACCGAGGTTGTTCGCGGTGTAGCAGAGCATCATCTTCAAGCACGGCTTCTCTTGAAGCCTTATTTCGTACGCCTGCTTGTTCAATTCGATTGCCTTGGCTGGTTCTCCGAGGCTCTCAGCGGCTTATGCCTGGTGACTTGAAATCGTTGCCTTCAAGTCCATCTTTTTCGGCCCATCTTGAAGTTTACCCAGCGCATCAAGGTTTATCTCACAAACCAGCCGCTATTCGCTCATTTCATTAACCTCAGAAGGAAAACTGATCAGTCATGAATCAATAATCAGAATCTCACAATATTCCCAGCCGAAAATACGCACCGTTGACAAGTCGAAAGGAGGCTGCAGAATTCCCAGGGGGCTGTAAACCCTTTTGAGGCCTTGGTCTCTTCAACGAAGCAATCTTTCAAGCTCAACACGTGCTGAAGATATCTATTACAAAGGCCCCATCGGTCGTACAACTGTCCTCTGGCAACTTCCTTGCTAGGGAGGCGTCTGAACTAGCTTGTGGATCATGATGGTGCGTGTTTCTTTTTCTTTTTTGACGAGTGCCAAATTAAGCAATTTTCTCATGACTATGGAGAAGCTAGCAATCGCGTCAGCGATAATGAAATGTAGTGGAATATGATCCGGCATCAGGAAGAAAAGGACACCAACGAGGGATAGGCTATGTGTATCCAAAGATTTGAAGGAAAAATCCCACAGTGCAGACAGAGCATCCGTGGAATGAGCTCGGCGGGGGTTCCTCAAATACATCACCATGAACTCCTGAATAGTAACCTCGCCCTCATGTATGAAGCCAGCTATATGTGCGAGCGCCAATGCATGTCCGCTTAGTCGCTCAGAAAGGGCTAACGACAAGGAGAGACTAATCACACCTGTTGACTCGAACCAATCCTGGACAAGGACAAGAACAATATCCGTGAAGCTTTGACGTAAAGAAATCGGCTTCTCTGCATGGGCCCATAGCACGGTGTCATGGGCGTTTTCTTCGAATTTTGCCTTGGCGTAGGTGGAGCCAACATGAGACAGCGCGGCTTGGCGGGTAATGGAATTTTGCCTGAAGACTATGGTGATTGAACTCAAAAGTGAGATCGAGTATGAGCTAGTTTCTCTACCCGGTTCAGAGCCTTCTTTAGGTCTTGCAGCGTTCACGTATAGAAATGCTCGATCAGCTGTAAGGGGCTTCCGCCACCTTGTAGAGCCGAATCAATGACTAGACACCAGTGAGTGTTTCCCCGAGAAGAATGAACATGCAACGTACAATGTCGAGCCTCGCCGGCTCCATGAATGTATTCAATTGAGGCAATGAGGAAGTCGAGATACAAGACCTGCATATCAAAGCAGGCTTCTTTGATTGAATTGTCCATTTCAGCATCAGAGCTGCACAAGCCATTGAATGCTTCGGCTTGGTAGACCAGTTGTTTAATCATGCGAAGGACTTTTGCCAAAGTTTCCGGTTCCTCAGTCTCTGCAATCAACTTGGTCCATGTCAATATCAATGCACTACAGAGCTGATCGATCTTCAACTGTGTCGTGGCTAACCTGAGGGAGACAAGAAAAAGGCCAAGTCCAGCGAGGCTACCAGTTTAGCCGCAAAGATGTTCGCGAATACGTTCAAGTGCTCCAAAGCTGGATGAATGAGTGAGATGGGACGTGGAGCATATTTGAGAACATGCGCCCGTACGTCATTCCACGATCGGAAGCTCTCGACTGTTTGTCGGTCATCTTGATCCAAGGAACGCTTATGTTTTTCAATGGCGAATTCCCATTGGGTTGCAAAGAATATCTCCCTAAACTGGCGAGAGTTCAGCCCCACATGAGCTTTTGTGGCATACAAGCCTGCGGTTTCCATGACATGCACACGAGACGATATCAAGAATAAATTAAAAGAAATAACAATTGTATCCTATACGAGTCTAGCTTAAACTACTTCTCTTTATTCAAGATCGGTCGGGTCAAGCCGAATTGGGTCGACACGATAACCGCACACCTTGCTTTTGAGCGGTCTACGCGTACCCTGTCGGTGTTTCGGTTTCCCTCATTCTGCGTGGCTAATATACTCAAAAAGAACGACCTTGAACTCATCACAAAGCAGTTAAATGCTTTCATCTCTTCTCTCTTCCAAGTTCTCTCGACTTCAGCCTCTGACTGTATCCTGTTTCCGCAAAATTAGAATCACGGCCAGACTTCTACCTCCATAACACTACACAGACGCAGTACCAGAGCCTGGAGCCATATACCGCGAGATCCTATTATCGTACCGGCTGCTTTTCGGACAATCCTCCTCGTCAAGAAAGCTCCTTATTCGAGGCCTGACAGCAATGTAAATTTCGACGTGGCATCATCGACCTCTTCGCAGGCATAAATCTCACTGCACAGCAAATAAGTATAAATCAGCGCCTAAAGCCAGTTAGATGGCCGACCCATTTCTACTGAAATGCACTTTGCCAACGAAAAGGCCGAGGTTTCCCAACTTTGGCCTGTTCGGACGGGCAAGCCACCAGACGCCGTTCCCCAGTGAGATATTGTCCGTGCTAGACATGAACGGCCTTCTCCAAGAGTCCGATACATATTCGGCGAGAGATGACTTCCCTGTTTTTGGACAACGTCTGGTAGCCCTCCAGACCTATCATATGAGGTAACAACCTAGCAAAGTAACTGCCTTCTGGCGAGACCGTAGAAATCCGCTTCAGTGGTACACATTCTAGGCGGTGTTCTGGATTGGCGGAGCATCCATATTGTTGGCCTTGCTACAATTGCTTGTTGCTATCGTACAGACAATCACCGCGTTTAAACCAGCAAGTTAATATGGTCTTGTTGTATCACATAGGTCGTGACTTCTGAATCAGCTTTAGAAGTTTACTATTCACCTAAAAGCAGTTCTTGAGGCACTACGCTAAAGCTCCCATATCTAGATGTGTCTATCTGCAAACAACTGAATGATCCCCTCGTTACTTTCCTCGTACACCTTTAGCTGGACATGCCCATCATCGCCCAAGACGGTGTTTGCTTGAACGAACTTCCAGGGCGGTTTAGGCTTTGATGCTACAATCTTTCTCCACACTTCGTACTGGCCGTCGACAGCGCTGAGAGGTTCATAAAATGCCCTGCAGAGAGCAAGATCCGCGGTACAACGCCAGACATGAATACGATGAAGCATACGGCCGATGGAAAACCTCCAATGCAATGGTATTTGGGTGCGGTCAAGATGAACATGGAGCATTCCTGTAGCTTCATTGCAATCGACCGAAAATAATCCCTTCGCGTCGACCATCAAGTGCTTGAAAATAGCATAGTTTGCCTTTTCATTCCACGGTTAGCAATAGGGTTATCTGTTTTGCAGAAATAGGAATTCCATACATTGGCATGCGGGCTTCCCCACGCCTGCTCCTCCACATTGAATGCCTGCAGGGCGCGGAGGCCCTCAACTCCGATGTGAAGCTACATGTTGTAAATAACTAACAGGTGTTAGTCAAGTGTCTGGAGAGTAGGGTACAGTCTGTGGCAGATTATATTTGCCTCCTATTGTAGGGTTGGAACTCACGCTCGCTAGCTTTGATGTCGCCGTCTTCATCATAACCATACATGGAGAGTATGTCTTTGTCTTCTCCGAGGTAATAGGAGATGAGCATTGCCCTACACTCCTCGACGGTTCCTGCCAACTTCTCAAACACGCTCGTCCACGTTTGCCCAGGTCTATACCACGACTCTACCGGGTTGCCTGTGAGCGAGTTGATGGGCACGTGCTCCGGGTCAAAATTAAAACACCGGGAGAGGTGCGTCACCAGGGTAGTATGTCGAGTCGGAAAAGCCCAGTGCAGTAGGCGTGGTGGATAACATGGCATCGATCATCTTGTCTAGTTTAGCTGTGGCAGCAGGTGAGATGCTCGCCATCCTGCGAAGGGAGTTGACTGCTATGTTGGGCACAATCTTTCGGTCGCCTTCTCCCTAAAATAATGTTAGTCATGTCGTCATGTTGGCCGTGGAAGAGAATCCTGCCTACGCAGAAATTATAGTTTAGACATGAACATGCCGGCTAAGTCCAAAAAGTCATCTAGCTCTTGGGCTGAGATGCCGAAGCGCGTCACGAACTGTGTCCATTGACCTTGACAAGCCTTGTGTAGCTCAAGGATGAAGTCGAAGATGTCGGTAACCGGTACCCTCAGGCGAGGTTTGACGAATGATGATTCTACTCCCATGCCAGGCGGCCTGGGAGAGGTAATGAGCATAGTGTTTCTGGTCCTCTGAAAGGCCGTCAAAGACATGCTTGACGGAGAGTTGATATGTAGTCGCAAGGTGGCGAGATGGACCTAGTGGACACATTTGGTCACAGTGTGGGCAGGTCGGTGATTTCGGTTCAGTTGCAATCCGGTCTAGACGCAGTCAAATGCGGACTGCGGTAAAACCTCTCGCTACTGTAAAGCTTAATGGGCAAGCTCGATGTCCTAGGAAGCCTTCAGCACTGACAGAATGTATGCAAGCATAGGCTCCAGTTATGTCAGTCCGCTCTGAACTATTCAGCTGTAATAACAGTCAACAGTTAACGTTGAAGGAGGTGTTGGGTGGAAACGTCTGGTTCCCTGAAAATTTTGCTTCATCTGCTGGTGGCAGTGAACTGACCTTGACTGTCAATCCCCAATGGACATACCGCGGGGTACATGTAACATCAAGCGGCACCATGTGGTCACTACGGCAGGGTAGCTATAACGCCAAGTACCTGCCTAGGTACCTAGGGAGGTAGTACTACATAACTATGAATGTCTCGTAAGTTGACGTCTGGTTGGTGATGTTGGTGGCGAGGGCTATGGACATGATATCAAATTATATTTTCCCAGCGCGGCCCGCGGTTAACTAGCATCAAGAAAGTGGATAGATGTAATTGGTCATTTTTAGGCATCCGTTGCTAATGAAAATTTGACGGCGGCCATAGCTCCACGACCAATAAACTTAAAATGGATTCGAGAGATCCGTCTCGCTCTACTCGCGGAGAGCCATCGAACACTCTTCGGGCACTCTGCAATATCGAAGTGAGCCTAACAAAGCCTCAATACTTATCTCGGAACTTGTCCGAGAAGGGGCGATAGAAGGCACACCTGTCTTAATACGATATATTAGTTTGCGGTAAACCGAAACTTTCACAACTACTTAATATTAAAGTTATCCAATAACTATCTAGCTACTGTTTACCTTTACCAAAGTTCTAGTCAGGCTAGCCTTGCCAATGCAGCCTTCATACTTATAAGGCTTCCCGATATTCCCTAGGCCAGGACCAGCACTTGATGTAATGGGATTATATGACGCAGTCTCCATCCACGGCAATGTCAGGCTTAGATTACCACCGGTATAGTTCTCGATAAATCCAATATTGCCACTGACATAATTCCCTTAGAACAAGCTGAGATTGTAGAGGACCTGGCGTGAATCTCCTGCGACCCCGGGGGAGGACAAGAATGTGCCATGGCATATGACTGCATTATCAGGCATTATGCATGATTTTCTTCGGCATATCATTGACATGGAGGTTGCGGTCTTAGTGAGAATGGTCAGCCAGAACCGGCCGTGTCACCGTAGAAAGTGCAGTACATCTAGTAATCTTTCTGCGCGTTATTGGTAGCATATCGCACAAAATGCAGCCATCTGCAAACCATAGTAAGACTCTGAGCCACCTCTCGATGCTAGGGAACTCATTTCGTGATACTTCAGAAGTCGAGAATTTCACACTTGTGACAAGGGCAGGTTGACTGGGAATGGAACAGTAGGTTCAATTCAATCTTGAATAATCGACTTCAAGGTATCAAAGGTCCTTGGTTTTCCAAGAGGCCTTGGGGGACCAGAGGTCTCTATATATACGAGAAGTCAGTGTGTGCTTGAGGCCTGAGGCAGCCCCCGATGGTAGTCTGGCCTCGGGGCTTTGTGATATCTTCTTTGTTGTTGATGGCCCAATGCCTTTGTTGTGGCCTCAACCGTGTGACAACACTTTTCAACGCTTTCCCCTCTCAAGCGACAAGGTAGCATCAGACACATGACATACCTGCAACAAGGCGCAGGTGCTGGCCTGGCTCAGGCTTCAACGTGATGCCCCCTCGCAACAAGCTAGCTTTGCATGTCAGCACTCCAGTTGCAGGCGGGTGAGATTTTGGCGTCTTATATCGGCAGCCATTCCATCTTCCGGTTGCTTCTCTCCAAGGTTTAGTGCATGGACGTTTCTCTTTCTGTAATTTTGAGAGAGCGGACCCGACGTCCATCTTGCCCGTTCTTGTTGAAAGCCACTCATGAATTCCTTTTCCCTTCATATCATCTTTTGTTATGGCAACTTTGAGAAGATAGATGGGTCGAGGCCATCTTGTCTGACACATCGCTTAAGAACAAGTGCCCGCTTCGCAGCCAGCAACACGCAGCTTGACTCGAGACAGACACGACAAATACATGACTCCTATTATATCTACGTGTTTCACCGCAGGCATTTTTTCAACATCCAATGCGGAATGCAATCCACCTTGACCAGCTGCAAAGCGCTGCCTCGACCTACATCAGCCCATGGATGCAGTTTCCAAGTCCTGATTACCTGAACGAGCCGTCGCCACACCAAATGCACGCTCCGGTGAGAAGAGGAGACCTCCGCTCTAGCATGAAATGACGCATGTATGATGTGAGGTACCAATGCTGCCACCGCTTCCAGAGACAGCGCGCCCAATGTGACACTAACCTTGTAGTCGGCCAATAATTGATTGTATGTGGGATTGTAAGCTTCCGCTCGAAAGACACCGCGCGTTCCCCTGGAGTAGTGAAGGCGGCAGCGATATATTTTGTCCCAGAGATTGTGGCTAATAGTCAATTCTTGCCGACATATCA